TTCTAAAGGACTTTGTACCATGCAGAACACAGTGTCCAACTCGAATCTGCAGCCCAGAAGCCACATAAATAACAACAGGTAACAGGGAATCACGGTTCGATTCCGCAGAGGAACCCTGAGAAACGGCTACCACATCCAAGGAAGGCAGCAGGCGTGCAAATCACCTACTCAGGGAGGTCGTGATGAAAAATAACAATACAGGACTCTTTCGAGGCCCTGTAATTGGAATGAGTACACTTTAAATCATTTACCAAGGACCCATTGGAGGGCAAGTCTGGTGTCAGCAGCTGCGGTAATTCCAGCTCCAATAGCGTATTTTAAAGTTGCTGCAGTTAAAAAGCTCAACCAATGGTGAAAGGATGGAGGCCAGGTGTTTGGCGATGTTATAAGTGACCAAAATTATGCTGCTGATGATGGGTCTGAGTGGAGCTCGTTCCTTGTGGATTTTGAGGAGACCATAAATACAGGGAATGACTTCTCCTGGATAGAGCCAGAGGTACAGGGGTCTATCGATGGCTTTATCCTTTTCCAGCTGTTGGAGGCAGCTGATGACCTTCTTTTTGTAGCTGCTGGTGGGATCTTTCCTCAGGGATTCAAATGTGGCTGAGTCACTGAGAAGAGTTTTGACTTTAGCGTGGTAGTATGCTGTGTTTAAAACAACTGTGCACCTACCTTTGTCTGCTGAAAGGATGGTGATGTCTGGGTCTCTTTGGAGTGCTGCCAGCGCTTTCTTCTCAGGGAGAGAGAGGTTTGAAGGGGGAGGTTTAGCACTGGAGAGTGCCGCGCTGACCTTCAACCTGAGCTGTTCGGCTTCCGTGGGGTTTTATCGGCATAAAACGACGAGCGAGGTGAAGCAGCGGGCGGCCATACCTGTCGGGCACACGACCTCTGACCCGGAAGTAACACGGGTGACGATGGGAGCGCAGAGGAAGACACAGTGGGTGGACTACCGTTTTTATACCTGCTCACCTCAACGACTGGCGGAAGTGAGGAAGGGAAACCATAGCAACAGTCAACAGAAAGAGTGAGGGAAAAACAAGACAAAAACGCTCGTACTGCTACAGAAAGAATAAAGCTACTTCAGCTCCACCCTGTTGGGTGGGGCCTTGGGGTCAACTGGGAAAGTGTAAGCAGTCGTTAAGAGTCCTATTGGTCGTTGTGGTCCTCATCAGAAAGGTTTCGGTCACCTGCCTCTTTGTTATGTGAAACTGAGGTGAATCTTTTGGGTATTGTTCCTAAAAGTGCTGTATGTGGGTGATGGGTTGTGTCTGAGTGCACCTCCTCTGTTGAGTGATGGTTTTTCCAGGTTGACAAAAATGGCTTCTTTTACCCCTCTCTCAAACCAACATTTGTAGAATTTCTAGGTTGTAGTGATTTATTATGCAAAAATTGATGTTCGGATAGGATTCTGTGAGAAAAACTACCATGTAAAGACCAGAATAACAGGAAATGCCAAGCACTGACAAGAAGAAGCTGTTGCTATATTTTGACATGTTTATCAGGTCAAGTTGACCATGTTATTTGGTCACTAGGGAGAGTTGAACAACCAAAGCTAAATAATAACCAGAGCCAAATAATAGGCATCATCTTCATGTTTGCATCCGAAAAGGTTCTGACCATGTTTGGTCAGAATAACAGCCAAATGTTATATAACCGCATGTTTGTCTATGCCTATAAGAAGGATCAGCATGTAATACAATAAATCCCCTGAGACGGAGAAGTGTGTCCTGGTCTGCCTCATTTGTAGACATCTCTTTCTACAATATAATTGGTGAAGTGATCGCTTGGGCCTGCGGACCAGGGCGGCTGGGTTCCTCCACTGAACTTTTCCTCCTATTAATGCGCATGCGTACATCGGCTAATTTGCCGCTGCAGACAAGTCATAGTTTTCTGCTACCCGACCGCTAAACAAGGTTACTTTCTTGTGTTTGTAATACTTTATATGACCAGTATGCAAGGCATAGATTTGACAGTCAAATTATTTCAACTTGCCACGTGCATGTGATTGTGTCTGAATGCAGTTTGAATAGCTAATACTGCAAATTATCGTCATTTTCATGTAGTAGATGGGAATGTAATCACAAGTGAGGAAAGTGTGCTGAGAAGATGGAAGGAATACTTTGAGGAGCTGTTAAATGAGGAAAATGAAAGGGAAAGTAGAAACGAGGAACCAGAGACTATTAGGAAGAAGGTAGATCAGGTTAGAAAGGATGAAGTTAGAAAAGCCCTGAAGAGGATGAAGAGTGGAAAATCAGTTGGTCCATGACATACCA